ATATAGCAAATAAGTTATTATCCTTTGTACATTCACTTACGGTGCACGCCTGAAAAATTCCCCAACAAACAGCCTATTTTTAAACCGCACGTAACTTATTTCCATTAAAGTTTATGTTTAAGAATAATTATTTCTTGGGGATTCTTTTGCCCATATAAGCCTTTTTTTTTTCTGTTTGAATGGCAGATTTGCAAGTACAATTTCATCTGGAGAGGGGAACAATAGCTTTCAGCTGCACAAAGGCCCTCTCCCACCCCGAATTCAGGCCGCAATGCCTCTTGCTCTGATAATAGCTTCTGAAAAGATTTTGTAATGCAGAGAATTAATACATGATTATTTCCGCCTGACTTCTCTCATTTATTAGAATTCTGTGGCAAATTCCAAATTAAAAATAGTTCAGTTAACAGCTTTCAAAAAAATACTTTTTAAAATATTTCAAGACACCTTCTCCCCCTCCCCATTTTTAAGTTTGGTTGCTTGTCCTGGCTTGGGAAATGCTTTGTTGAAAACTGTGATCAGTTTTAAAGTGATAGCAACTATATTTTAATAAATGTATCTAAGTACATTTAGAAAGAAAATTCCAAATAATTCTCTAAGATGCTCATCTTGCCAGCTAAAGACAAAGTTGTTATACTAGCCCATTAATAGTCTCTGAGACTAATTCCTGTTTCACGGGGGGGGGGAGTGCAGTTATAATAGCCTGGGTTCCCAAAAGAGACAGTGGGACATGCCCTCTTCATTCCATCTTTAGTGAAGGCCTTTGCAAACCAAAGTGTGTGTGTGTGTGTGGGGGGGGGGTGCTAATACAGGGTGGAGCTAGGTTGCAAATCAAGTTCCTTGGAAATGGTTACAAACAAGTATGTCAGCAACAGAAATTTAGTATTTACAAAACTGAATGTTTATGGCCATTTTTTTTTTGAGCAAACAGATTTTAAACTGCAAGCCCAGAGACTTAGACAGGTTCTTGTTGAGTTAGTTATATCACACAGCCTTGAGAAAGCATGTTGTCGTGGTACCCTGTCTACAAACAGTCACCATCAAGTTCTATATTGGTGTGGTTTAGTACTCATAAATGGACTCTAGGTATAGAACCCATGCCCCTCAGCATATCACACAATGTCATTGTTAAAAGTTATAAGGGTGTTCATCAAGGATGTCTCAGGAGACATGTCATTGAAAGCCCCATGCACCTTTCAGAGGTGGGAATGCTGAACTCAGCCTCCATCTGGAGAGCAGCTCTCCTGATCCCTACACTGACTTAACCTTACATCGTCTGCAATGTCTTATGTTCTAAATTTGAGGAGCTGCAAGTGGCAATGGCAGCAAGATGTGATCGAAGTAACAGTTTATGCAAGCTGCCTCTGAACTGATGCAACCTGGTCTTGATTTTATTATTATTATTATTATTATTATTATTATTATTATTATTATTATAAGTCTGTACTATTCCCCCTGCTGCTGAGAACTTTGATAGAGGGGTGCTGGCAAGTGTGACTCCTGTATCACGGATGCACAGATTTCCCCAGCACCTCTCGAAGCCTGCTTCTGAGAATGCATCTCTCCACCACCTCCTCAGCACTGCTCCAAACTTTCAGAAAGAGCTTCCACTGTGCAGAAGGTGTTCTGCTTTTAAAAGACATCTGACTGTAAATGTCAAAGTTATAAATATTTAAACATCATTTTCTTTCAATTTCAAGTCAAGACCGATAAGATGACTCTAATTAGTCCGGGCTGTCTTCCGGGAGGCCCAGGAAAGCAGCCTGTGGTCCACCCCAAGCTGCTCACCCTTGGGGAGTCACCATTCTGAGAGGGGCTGGGGCCTCACCGGCTGCACCTGGGTCAGAGCAGGTGCAGACTCACAGTTAAGCTTCTTTCTCTGGAGCCTCCTGGTTTGCAAGCATTTTTAAATTTGATTTTTGTTTTTTGTTTTTTTTTTTAGCTCCACAAAAAGAAATGAAGTTATGTTAACTCAGTCATTATGCCTAGAAAAGGACAATCAGCTGAAACAAGGATTTCTAGAGATTTTCATTTCTTCCAAGATTCTTAAGTCCTGACCCACTGCTGCAGATCTTTCCAAGCTCATCTCAGCCCTCCAGGGAGGGGTATTGGGAGCTATTGTCAGGAAGAGAACCCTAAGAGAGACAAGTCATCAGTCACTTGAAATTCAGACCCCAATATTATATGTTGACTCCAAGGGGGTCCCTTGGTCCAGTGTGTCTGCTTTGCCCTCTCTATCTGAGGTCTCTTCCCTTCAATCTGCACTCGGCATACTTCCCAGGGTGCTTACAGCTTCAGGTCTGGGTGCCTCCAAGACTCCCACCTCACAGGCCCTCTCTAGTGTGGGGAACCAGCTCTCCGATGGGCTAGGAGATCTGGGGGCAGGGGTACAGCTGACATTAACTCTGGGCACCAGCCACTCTCCAGAGGGGGTGGGGGAGTGGGGGTGGAGGAGGATGGTATAATCTGACGGGATTCCTATGAAGTTGGGGTTTGGGCTCCTCTCCCCTTCAGTTCCTCCACAGGGGCCCAGTGAGGAGAATGATGTCGCTGCTTTAGCCTTGACATATTGGTTTGGTCTGTGGATAAAATCCCAGTGCCCCAAGGGAGAAGCAGCCAGGAGGAGCCGAGGCAGCGACTGGTTTAAAGTAAAACAGAGAAGGAGGAAGCCCACCTTGCTGGGATTCCTCTTCCTCAGGGTAGACCCAGGTTTTTCACTGGGGCTGGTTGCCCCACTGGCTAGGGCCAATTTCAATTGTGGGAGCATCATTGCCTGCCTCTTTCTGTGGCTTCAGTATGCCCAGTACCTCCCACTGGGCACTGCTGTTATCTTGGCAGCATTTATGCTCCTAAGCTGGGTCTTTGACCTCTTGTTGCCCAGAGCCCTGATGGTTCCCAGCTCCATGGAACCACCGGTCCAGTGCAAGGACTTACTGCCATATATCAAGATCCAACACGGCTGGTGACTTAATGCTATCTGATTACCTGAAGGCAGAAGGTTAGGGAGGTCGTAGTCCCAGTGCCAAATAGTGTGCATGCAGGTCGGCCCAAAGCTGGACCTGGGCTCAGGGACCCCTCCAACAGCTCAGGGGAGCGGTGAGGTGCAATTAGCACAGCCATCCCGCCACTGCCTTTGTTGTAGTCTGCTGAGAAGAGGAGAGACCGGCAAGGGCGGGAAGGCGGCCACTGATGGAACAGACATGACCATCTCCCGCCCAGGCATGCCTGGGTCTGCACTGAAACTGGGGAGTGAACTACCCGGTTAGGTTCTCTAGTGGTGCCAGGGCACACTGGCCAGGAACTTACCGGAAAGGCTTTGCACTTGGGCGAACCACAGCCCGCTGCTTGTCATGTGAGAAGGGCTGCGGAGACCCTGGCCGAAAGGGTTATTTGTGTCCCTGCAGACAATGAGCAAAGAAGCATAGTTTGGGAACTGGGAAGGGGACTTGGACTTCGCTGACTTGGGGGGAGGGGTGGGCGACTCTCACTTCTTTCTAGAAGCCCCTGTGTGGGCTGGGTGTGAGTGGAAGGGGGCGGGACCTGGGAGGAAGCCAAGAGAAGAGTAGTAAGACTCACACTGCCTTCTCCAAGTGCAGAGCCCTGTGTGCCCCTGGCCCGCAGCAGCCTCGGGGGTCCAGCTACTCAGGCCTGGGTGAAGTGTCCGGGTCTGTGCTCCGGGTCTGGGTCTTCTGGTCCCTGCCCCGCAGTCCCCTCTGCTAGGTCTTGGAGCACCCTCTGTTCCATCCTTCACTGTAGCCTAGGAACCTCCCGGTACAGAGCCAAGCAGAACCAAGCCTCCTACATCTAGGCAGAAAATCCCGGTGTCTTTTCTCATTTAACCCGCGTTTCCATTAACTCGGTCCCGGCTCCCACTAATCCGCGCGCACCGAAGGCAAAAGCAGGCTAATTAATGACCAGCTTTTCCAGTCAAGACCGGCGATAATTGCTTTGGTGGCCTTTATGATTACAAGATAAAAATGGGCCCGGGCTGACATAAGAGACACTGTGTACACTCAGAGACTGGAGGAAGCGAAGAGTTGGGAGGCTGAAAGCCGAGTAGAAAATTACTAATAGAAGAGAGAGATAATGAATAGGCAGGCCAGGCATTCATGGGTAAAAATCCATTTTGTTACCACGCGAAATTAGGTGGCGGAATAGAGTTTGCTAATTGTTCTCCTCGTGTAGCAACTAGGACAGAGGCAGGGGCGTGCTCTCCCATTCATTTCCCTGAGTAATTGTGGGGGGTTGCTGGCCGCGAGTCGCGGGCTATTTGCCTGCGGCCCTTCCATTTTCCTGTGGCGTGTTTAATTGTTGCTAATACACCTCCTAATGAAGCTAATGAGGGGGGCGCTGTTTGGCTATCTGCCCTGGAGTTGAGTGACACGCACGAAAGGGTTTTCTCACCTATTTTCCCAAGATGAGAAGTGAACTTCTCCATCGCCTGTTCTCAAAGACCTTGTCCCCCTTTAAGGGACAGTACTTGGGTACCAGGAGTTGGAGCCTGTGCCTATAGATCCCTATGAAGAGTGACTAGAACTGGTTTGACTGGCCCACAGAATATCTCTTAGAGCAAGAGGCCACGCCCCTGAGCTCTAAGGTGGATGAGTCAGGCCAACTGGACTGTATTGGGACTGGGGAGTTATTTAATTCTGTTAACAATTTACCCACCTCCTGCCACACTTGCGCTATGCTGCGCTCAGGGATAAGTTCTGTATCTGATTAGAAAGGATTGTGCACTTTGTTTCACTTAAAGCAGCAAATTAGGTCCAGGAAAAACATCTACCATCCAGGTAGCTCTTGCCTTCCTGCTTGACAGCATTGCAGTTTGGAGGTGCTTTGGTGTCGAAATTTCCTTCCACGTGAGCCCCTGCACTGCTCCCCTCCCCCCACTGTGTTGGTGACTCACTAAATCTGGAGTTGTGCTTGGAGGGGATGACCTACAGGGGTCGAGGTTCCTCGAGTAATAACCTGCCCTTCTCCTCCTCCGCCTCCTCCTTCTCCAGAAAGAAAAGCTAAAGCTCCTGCCCCACCAGGAAGAGCAGGAAGACTCTACCAAGTTCATCGTGCTCACTTTCCTCTCCATCGCCTGCATCCTGGCGGTTCTCCTGGCTTCCAGCCTTGCCTATTGCCTCCGCCACAACTCCCACTACAAGCTGAAGGAGAAGTTGTCTGGACTCGGGGGTGACCCCGGTGCAGATGCCACTGAAGCATACCAGGTAAAAAAAAAATTAAACTTTTTAAAGTGTTCTACTGGGTTTACAAAACTTGATTTGGGGGCTGGGGGAGGGGTAATCTGTCTCCTCCACCATCCTCTGAACTCTTTCATTAATTCATAGTTTGGGCTCTTTTATGATGACAATTTGAGACTTCTCATACGAGTACCTTGCAACCACAGTTTTTTTTATGGCTGTATATTAACGTTACACTGTTCTTGGATAGTCTTGTGTTAGCTGCAAAAGTGGGGTTGCTAATTAGAAATGTGGAAAAAAGTACAATACATGAATTATGCATTATCTGTTATCTTAATTCGGCTACTGTTAGTGAAGCACGCCACAACTGCAAGATGAATTGGTTGTGTAGATGTTTGGAGATGGCCTTTAAATCATCGACTTCCTTGGGGTCTTACAGGAAGGGACCTCTTGACCCCATCTGCTGCCACCCTCTGCTATTATTTGCATAAAGTGAAACCTAACACCGATAAATGGAAAGTAAAGTGCGTGTGTCTTCATGAGTCAGCAGGGGCAGCTGTGTGCTAGAAAAACAGATAGGCACCCAACATGCCTGGAGGTACGCCAGAAGCTGTGAGAAGTATGAGAGGTAGATTCAAAACAGGAGGTATAAACTAACATCCCATAATTTTGGAAGTTCCATAGTATATGGTTCATGATTAATGACCTTCTATAATGAAACTATTACTTTGCTCTTAGCAGCAGTGCAAGCCTAGAAATATGTAGAATGGGAATTGGATTTCCTTAATATAAAATATAGGTTAAATCTAAATATACTTAGGAACACAGAACAGCTCACTGATGGCTACTTTTAAGTTGAATCAATTTGCACGCATGAGACTCTTCTCCCGTTTGTCAGATCTCCTGTCTTTTCTAACCACATGGCTGCGCTATATCTAATGTCATCTCAGTAACTCACACATCACAATATATAAAGCAAATACCGTCTGTCCTGTTGTCAAAGTTACCTCAGTGAGCTCTCAAGTTCTCCCAGGGAACACCCAGACTGTCCAGTAGCCACCCTCAGCTGGTCTGAGCTGGCCTCCCCTTGCTTTGTGGCTCTTCTGCCCCTCTGGCCCATGTGACAAGTTGAGAAGAGTTTATCAAGTCCCTGTGCTTAAAAGAGATGAGGAGACAGCTTTTGCTCCCATTTCAAAATTCTTATCATCGTCAGTGAATGAAGAGAGCCTCTGGTTTTCCAAAGCGGGTCACAAGCATGGGCAGGATGATCTTTTTCTTATAAAGAAATGGCAACTTCAGATGCATTGAAGATGGCATTTCAAGCACATAGCACATAGCTTTGCTTCAAAGCCAAAGAAAGACCATGTTTGAAGAAGCAGCCTGGAAAAAAATGTCACATAAACTAGTAAGAGTTTACCCAGGAATTCTATTGAGCAACACCATCAATGCAGTATGTCAGGTCCTCAGGGTCAGGCTAGTGTCAGAGCATAAATAAATTATTACACTAGTCAGTTTCGTGTGTGAGAGACAGAGATTGTACGGACGCAGGTTTTCTAGAAAGCATGGCATCCTTTGATATGCTTTGAAATTCAAGTATAAATTATTGATAGAGCGAAAGGTTGGACTTACATGCAGAAACGAATCATTTTTATAGAAATGTGGGTAGAAAAGAACACGCATACTTATGGCTGAGTTTTGTGATAATTAACAACAACGACAAAAAAAAAACCTCTTCCTGGTGACAGCTCTAATTAATAGTATCTGTAATTAAAATCATGTCCTTGCAGCAAGAAAACTGTTTGAATTTCTTAGAGTGACCTTTTTGCGTTCCTCCCGAGGGCACAGTGGCTAAGTTGATATTGATTTTATAATGAGCTCTGGTTTGTTTCATAAGAAGCTATAATCCCAACAATAAATGAAATGTGTGCTTTTCTCCAATCCAGATTAATAATAATAATAAAATGGTGGGAAACTTTTCCTTCAAAAATATGATCTAGAAAAAAATAGGAAGGGGACATGATTGGGAAAATCTTCTGTTGGGCTTACTTCTGAAGTCATTACTAAGTACCTTTTAGCAAGCTACCTTGGTAAGATGAGGCCTGCTTCCACCCAAGAAGCAGGCTCCTTGGAAGGACCATATCCTGGGCAGTCCTGTTGCTTTGGTTTGGTTTCAGTAATGCAGGGCAAGCCCCAGCACACGGGGATCACGTGGTTGTCAGTTGGGGGGGTTATCTGGGTGCACTGGGGGCTCACAGTTGTTGCTCAAGAAGCAGCTGTACGGAAGTGTGAAGCCTATGTGAATCAGTCAATGGGCTTTTAATGCTTTGGATTTTTCCATAGCTGTCATTGAGATGACCTTCACGTTTTAAAGTCTTCTTAAAAGTTTTATAAAAAGAAATGCAAACTGTGAGATGGCTCAGCCAGTGAAAGTGCCAAACATGACAAGTAGAATTCAATCCCCAAACACCACACAGCAGAAGGAGAGAACAAATTCCCACAAGTGTCCACTGACCTACACACACACACACACACACACACACACACACACACACACAGAGACAGAGAGACAGAGACAGAGAGACAGAGACAGAGAGACAGAGAGACACATGACATGTCCCCTTGATAAATAAATGTAATTAAAAATAGAGCTATAAACATGTAACTATAAATTTCAGAGAAAGGGTCTTCTTGAATTAATATATCGACTACTAAATCTTTGTGTTTCTGTGGATGTACTCCAGTGGTAGATTTAATTGCCAATTCTCTCTCTCTCTCTCTCTCTCTCTCTCTCTCTCTCTCTCTCTCTCTGTGTGTGTGTGTGTGTGTGTGTGCGCACACGCGCATGTGAGCGTGTGTTTGGAAAGAAGTATTTCTTCTATATTTGCTTTTTCTGTAATTGAGACTATGAATAGAATTTGTCCCCCGTTTCTTCACTGATCACAGGGACAACTGCACAGTTTGCCACCCTTCTTTCACTTCATGGGGACATGATAGAAAGTAGCTCATTATTTTAAGTGTATAAAGGTGAGAAAGGTTATTGTGTAGGTAGGTTTAAGGTTCCCCAGGCATGGCGGTATCTGACAGTACACTGACTTTGCTCACTAACAGAATAATGTGGTATCACCCTGGAAGCCAAAGAGCTGAGCTCTTACGTGGGGAGAACACAGCACAGGGCACAGGGATTCTGAGAGTGGAGAAAGGGGAGGCAGAGAGGTAAGATACTATGCAGCCTGCATAGCCTCTGGTGGTAACTGTCCCTGCTTAGACAGCACCCAGGTCAGTGTGGTGGGAGGACCTTTCTAAGAGGATCTGGGAGGCCCCTCTTGTGGTTGGCCCTTTTTATGCTACCTTCTGTAGCATAGGGGGCCAAGCTGTGTCCACCACCAGCAGCACCAACTGCACACATAAGCGTGGAGATCATGGGCTGTATCCTATCCTGGTGTCCATAGTTGCAAATGATCATCTTGAAGTAGCCTCAAACGGTCTGGAGTGTGACTATCTCTAAACACATTCACTTTTTTTTGACCTATGTATTTGTATATATACTTCTCTGTGTGTGTGAGAGAGAGGGAGACAGACAGACAGACAGACAGACAGACAGGCAGGCAGGCAGGCAGACAGAGATTGGGGAGACAGACAGATAGACAGAGAGAGACAGGGAGAGAGAGAGAGAGACACAGACAGACAGAGGCAGAGAGAGACAGACAGACAGAGGCAGAGAGAGACAGACAGACAGAGATGAGGGAGGCAGGGAGAGAGAGAGAGAGAGAGAGAGAGAGAGAGAGAGAGAGAGAGAGAGAGAGAGAGAGAGAGAGAGAGAGAGAGAGAGAGAGAGAGAGAGAGAGAGAGAGAGAGAGAGAGAGAGAGAGAGAGAATGCCATATGTGTGCAGGAAACTACAGAAGCCAGAAGAAGGTACCAGATTCTCAGGAGCTAGGGCTTTAGGTGGTTTGTGAGCCACCCAAAGTAGGTGCTGGGAACCAAACTTTGGCCCTCTGGAAGAGCAGGGAGCACTCTCAACTTCTGACCTACCTCTCTAGTCTCCTGAAAGCCAAATCTCCCTGGCAGGTTCTTACTTTTGATCTTGTTCAAGGGTCTCAGTCACATCAGATAATTCAGTGAAGCTTAATTTGTTCATGCTTTGAAGTTTTGGGTCTGACAGCTGACATCCACATCCAATGGTCCCTGTGCACGCTCGCAGAACCGTCCTCATTGTTTAGTAAGTGTTGTTTTCCTCCTAAATCCGCAAAACATGCTTGGGTTTAAGATGTCCTTCATGACCTAAGGGAAAAAAAAAGAAAACCCACTTTGTTTACTCCCCCCCCCCACGATGGCTTCATATGCTGTGTGTGTGCATGTGTTTGTGCTTACATGCCTGTATGAACACGTATATGCCCACTCCTTGATAGGCACAAAACCATGATGGTCAGCACCAGGGTACCTCTTTCTTATTCATGCAGGTGTCCTAGTTCTGTGGAAGGTGGTTGGGTAAAAACTGTGCCAAAAATAAGTTGTGAGATGATTAGAAGACATTCTCCCCCTTTTCTCTCTGAGTCCCTTTGAATGCTGCATCCATTTCTTGGGGGCTTTGATCATCTCTGAGCAGCGAGTTTAGTATTCTGCTGGCTCACACTCTCCCTCCCCAACACAGGGGCAGAGACTCCCGCGGAATGTTCGGCAACTTCTCTTTTGATGGTTTATTTCACAATACCCAGCAGGTTTCCTTGTGTATTTGGAGGCCTTTGGAACCAAACCCAGAGGAAAGTGTGCGTGTGTTGGGCTATGGGACCACCTACAAGCAGAGTCACTAAGTGTGCATCGTGGCTGCTGTGGCCCCCATTAGCCAGTGGTTAATAATGTAATGACAGAGCCCTGTGATTGCTGCTCTTTGGGGGAGCTTTGTGCACTTGTGCTGAAGGCCCGCTCACCTCTGCTGAGGAGAGCCGAGTTCCATTGGAGAGGACAGGTGACATGTTGGTTCATCCCCCTATGAATTAGCAGACCCTTCTTTGTCTAGGTGAGTCTTCC